AATGGTCCAACATTTCGGCCGGTATCTCACGAATAAATGCTTCAATGTTGAATAGACATGAGGCGTTTTATCACACGATCTGGGTAAGTAATTAAGTAACAGAGGCCCAATTGCTGCGAACGGCGACGAATCGATAACTCATGGTCATCAAACAAAACACGAAACGCGCGTAAGCTATTTGAGCTAGTGTTGCCAAAAAGATAATATCTAACAAATCACCCTTTATAATCATTATCTGAAACTTTCATGAAGATAGGCCACCCACAAGAAAAGTTCTTAGATATCTAAGTTCCCATAGCAAGCCCACACCGCAGCCAATGCGTGTTTATGCGTGTGTGCGTATGCCTGTATGTGTGCGTGTGTGTGCATGTGCGAATAATTATTGAAATACGAGTTGCTGGAAGGGTTCAGGGGATCTCGTAGTCGCGCAGTCTCGACTTGTTTAGGATTAATTCTATATAATCTAATAGCCAACAAATGACTCGTTAGCAGCATGTCATATGATTTAAGTTTTCAACGATATAGTAACTAAGTTGGAAAAATACGCGTACGTGTGTACGACCACACGAAAAAATAAAAGTAAGAAAATTCACACAAAAATTTAACAAAGCGACGCAAAAATGTCGAAAGTTTTCAATTACATCTAACCTTTATGAAACGTGTGTTTTAGTAACTTTGATTTTTTTTTGCTCTCCGTTTTTCATGTTTTCCTAAGGTTTAAGTTGTGTTCCCCCCGTATTCCTCGAATGGGACTTTTGGCATCTGGTTCCTCAATATGTCTATATATTAGAAGTACTTAAATCGGCTGCAGATATCTGCAAACGTTGAAATGGTAGGAACAAAACTAACCTCATCTCTCTTTTTATACCCTGAACCCATTGACATTTTTAGACTATAATGGTTTGCTTGAAATGTATGTAACGAGCAGAAGGAATCAGTCAATACAGTCGATATATGTAGTTCTGTACGTTCGTCTTTCCGTCCGTATGAGTGCGTCGATCTCAGTAGTTATATGAGCTAGAGAGCTGAAATTTGGTATGCATACTAGCACTAACCAGAGAACACATAGACTAGACAACTAGTGGAAAGCTTTTTGCACGCTTTTTCTGGGACTTTAGCGCCCCAGACGGCTTTAAATTCGCTCGGCGAATTAATTTTAGGCTCGAGCAACGAAAATATACGAAAGCACAATCATTTCGCTTCACGCGC